TTTGTCCAATTGGGTTTGGGGTTGGCGGCTATTTGGGGACAAGCTGCTGTTGTCTCGGTTAATCAAGGATATCCAAGGCTTGCCAAAAGAATCCATCAAACTTTTGGTGCTACCTTACTTTTGACTGCTTGGTGAGTGTGATTTAAAAATATCAATTATTTTATGATATCTATCTTATTGAATTTTAATTTTATGTTTAATGATTTAGGATCAACATCTATTTGGGTAAGGAAAAAAAAAATTTATTTTTTTATGCGTTTTAATGCTAATTTTTATTTATTTTAATTTAATATAAAAGGCATTGATACGTATACAAAATCATATGGATAGTAAGTAGTTTTTTTTTTTGCTTCTAAAAAAAGGTGAAAAGAATTCCCTCATAATTAAAAATATTCTTTTTTTAAAAAAAAAATTTTAGTAAATCAACGTATTGGATTGTTGCTTATTCGATATGGATATTTATGTTAATAATTGCATTTGTTATGGGGGAGTTATGGTGGAGAATGGAAGGGGTAATTAAAATTTGTAATCCAGAAGAAGCTAAAGTGGATGAAAGAAAATCCATGTTACATGGGTATATTGATCACGAAGATTATAACAGGCTTCCGGAATTTACTTGGGAAGAAATAAATGATCGCGTTCATTCTGGCGTAAGTTTTTAATATTATTAACAATCAAACAAAAATGGGTGAAATTTTTAAAAATATGTATATAAATGTGTGTATATTTTTGTAGGCATACTTGGTTGTATGTGATGGATTGGTAATTGATATTAGAAAATGGATTGGAGTTCATCCGGGTGGTGCGAAAATTCTTGAGAGAGTTATAGGAACTGATATCACCAATGGTATTTATATTTACAAGCTATTTGAAATAAATTTTAAATGTATACTAACATATAAATATATGTATATATATATCTTTTAATTTGTTTTTTTTTTAGATTTTTATAATACACATCAAGGAAATGATATCAAAGAAGATGTAATGACAGCAGATACACCATTGTTATCAACTTATAGAACCAATAATAACAGCTCATCAATTCTTAATAAGTATAGTTCTATCTTAAAAGGAGATGGTCCAAACAAAGGTTCTGGTATATTGAAGAATAAAAACGTGGCTAATGCAGTTGATATTCTTAATATAAAGTATTTTTCAAAATCGCCATTAGCTAGTCATAGACATAGTGTATTTGCAACAAGAAAATTGGCAAATATGACTATAGGTAAATTAAATGAAAATTCTTTTGCAGAAAAGGTAGTTTCACCAAGTTCACCAAAATTTGGACCTAATAGAGATACTAAACGCAGAGATACTAGATTTTTTGATGATGAATTTGCGACGTCTCAAGAATTAAATCAGAGAATTAAATTTAATAGATATAAGTTAACAAGTAAATCAGCTATTAGTGCTAACAAAAATTATCCAGTTATGAGATTGATATTTACCAGAGTTCATCAAGATAAAAAAGATTTATGGAATGAACCCTTTCTACCTGGACAATATATCGAAGTACAATCTCGTGTTAAAGGACAGGTTGTCGTTAGAAGTTATACTCCTATTGAAGGAAAATTGTCAAAATCATTTTCTATTTATGTTAAAGTTTATCCTAATGGATTAATGTCAAAACATTTGGTAAATTCAAATTATATTCGAAACATTTAATTTTTGTCGCTAATTTCTTTAATTAATTTTTTTTTTATGTTTTAAATTTTGTAGAATGAACAATTGATAGGGTTCGAAATTCAAGTTCGTGGACCCTTTGACGTTTCAGATAGAATTGGACACGCAGGAGAAACGATAAATACATCAATGAGAAGATCTAGTATTCTCGTGCCTCCTTCCCCCTTATCACCATTAAAAAGTTCTTTGCTAAATCCAAATAGTTTTGATGGATGTTGGGACGAATTATTCATGATTTGTGGAGGAACTGGTATAACTCCAATGTTGCAGGTATGTAATAAATTAAATTAATTTATATATATACATATATCTTTCTTTTTTAATAAACAAAAATGCTGATGAGTTATATTTTTATTGTAGTTAATTAGATATCATCTTGCACATATTAAAAGTAATGATGAAACTGAACAAAGACAGAGAAGAATTCATATGCATTTATTATTTGGTAATAAAACTATCGAAGATATAATTGATGGTATAAGGTTAGAAGAATATTCATTATCAAGTAGAGGAATGCTTACAATCAGTTACGTTCTTTCGAATCCACCCGAAGGATGGTCAGGTTTACAAGGACAAATTAGCCCGGGAATAATACGAAAATGGTTAAGCGAAGTCAAAGCCATACCACCAACTACACCCACATCATCTGTACCACAATTTGGAGATATACATAAGAGCCATACTTTACGAGGACATGGATATAATTTACCTAAACAAACAACGTTAATATGTGACGAACCTCCACCAATACCTGCCAAACCATCGTTATCATCATTATATCTTGATGATCCCCTTTCAGCACCTAAATATCAAGGGTACTCTTCAACACATCAACCATATCCTCAAACAATGACGGAAGAACCAACGTCTTTGGGACATTCAACGACACGAGTTAATCTTCCACTAACTTTAACAACACCACACAAACCTGTTCCTCAAGGTTCAAATAGTTGGCATTCACTATCACATAGATCACCCACTTCATTTCATCCATTATATAATCAAGAAGAGCATGAAGAAAATTATGAGAAAATGCGAGGTTCGCCTTCTAATTTTATAACGAAAATGTCAAACTTTAAAATTATAGTGTGTGGTCCACCGGGAATGATAACGATTGTTGATCAAACATTATCTGAAATGTGTTATTCTGAAAATGATTGCATTTTATTAATATAAAATGTTTATATATGTTTGTATATATAACAAAATAATATTTTATATCGCAGCCCATCAAATCAATTAATTACAGTTATTATTATTTGAATTAATTACTTGACAATGGTTTGTGTAAATTTTGCAAATCATTTGTTTTGACAAAAATATATTTTAATAAACTTGTATCCGTTTTTAGCTGTGGAAAATCCTTTATTCTTTTTGTATTACAATTTTTATTAATTCGGATTTTTGATCGGCTTTCAAATTAATTGTCAATTTTGATCCGATTTTTTTTTTTAAAACAAAAAAATGGCTTTAGAATAGGGTGTCCAGAAATATGTGGCGGTAAATATCAAAATATTTTTTTTTTTTTTAACGATGTGGTACTGTTGTAAGTTTATTAGATTATGTATAAAGTAAATATCAAAATATGTATGCGCTAATAAATAAAATATGCGATAATATGTGTTCATAATTCTGGTAAAAATTATGTTTAATTTTTAAATTTTAGGTAAAATTATTAAAGTAAAAATGATTCGCAAAAAAAATCAATTTATTTATTTTTATTATAATATAAAAAATTAAGCATTGAAATAGATTTTTCAGAAAGACGCATTCTTCTTTCACTTAAAATATTTTTATAATTAGAAAAACTGCGCTCTATATCTACTCCAGCTATTGGTAACCCAATATAAATCAATGCTATTTTTAATAAATTTGATAATATTAAACTTTTTTCTTTCCAATTTTTATCTAAATCCAATTCTCCTCCTTCAATTACTTTGATCTAAATTTTAGCCTAAACTTTAGTTTCAAATCAGTCTATAAATTAGTCTACAGTTTGACTTTACCCTCAATCTAATAAAAATCAGACTAAACTGAACTGGTTGAACTGGTAACATTCTTAGTTTTAAAGTAAGGTGTTCAAGAATATATAACGTAAATATATGCACATATTTTAAGATTTTTTTATATATATTATGTGTCACATAGTTTATAAAAAATCACATAAAATATACATGCACATATTTTACAATAAATATGATTGGTTGATCATAATTATAAATCTAATTATGAAAAATATTGTTAATCATCATCGCTTTTTTTTACAATAGTAACAGTAATCAAAAGGGATAATTTTACGCAAAACTATATAGACAACTACTATATTAGTGATGCTATTATATTTTGTAAATTTTATAACAATTGATCATAAAAATAAATCAAAAGTTAATCAACATTTGAGAACAAATAACATAAAAATTATAAAACTTTAATAAAACAAAGAAATAATATACTGCGACAACAATCTATACTTGAAATCTTTGAATATATATTTGCTAAAAGAGATAAATTTAATTTGAAATTAGTTAAAGCCTTTACCGCAACTGATATTTTATTAGAAAAGGTTAATAAATTAAGGTTTTTTTTTCATAAATTTTGTAAAAATAGTATGTTTTATTATTGATTATTAATTTTTTTATTTTATTATATTATTAATTATTTTATTAAGTTAAACAATTATAGGTGCTAATCAACTATATGAAAATTTTTTACCAAAAGTCTATAATCAAGAAATTGAAAAATTAAATGTATTATAAAAAATGAAAAAAATATATATAAAACTATTGATGTTTGTGAAAGAATAGCAGTTAATGTAATTTTTACTTTTAAAAATCAAACAAAATTAGTTGCTACAGAATATGTTATTATAGCAAATAATATAACAATATCACAAATAATTTTATCTTAAAATATCAAATTTCTTTTGATGATGTATTACTTCTTATCACTGATAATGCTAGTTACATAGTCAAAACATTTAAAAATTTATCACCAATTATGTCACAAATAAAATACAACAATTATCTTGCACATATTATGAATTTAATTGAAGAATATTGAATAGATTTTTTTTTTCAACTTTTTGATACCATTACTTCAAATATTATTCATAGTTCAACAAGAAAAAGAAGATGGATTAGCTATCTTTCTACAAATGCTGTTAATAATCCTTCTTTACCTCACTTTTTTGAAATTTTAGTAGAAAATTCTAATTCTAATATTATCTTATCACCATTATCAGTAAAAATGCATTAATGTAGTTAGTTCAGATTTATATTTTAGCTTAATGATTATGTTCCATATATTGTACCATTTTTTATTGAAAAAGAAAAATTGGATAATAATAGTAAGAGAAGGGCCAGAAATTACATCATTTTGATTTTAAGGATTTTGATTCCTTCCCCCCCTCTGTCATCATTTTTATTACTTTTAAATAAGAAAATCATATAATAATGTTATCCTAGATGAATCCCTTTCCCCCCTTAGGAAATTACATCATTTCTGACCCTTTTCTAAAGCAGTTTGTGATTTAGCAAAGACATTTCAAGATTGGATAACAGTTTTTAATTTTGAAATTATGGCTCTTTTTATTAAATTTAATGCAAACCGGTAAATGAATTTTTAAATTAATTAT